CCCCAGATCAGGCGGTGCCGCCTGCTCCTGAGGACAATGGGTGTGATTTAAAAAAAAAAAAAAAAAAAAATCTGAATTTTTAAAATATTTTCCCTTCCTCTCTTTTTTTTTTTCCCCTCAGATGGCAGATTCCAGTTCAACAATTTATGCCCCACTGAGGAAGTTCAGTTTTCACTTGTCGGGTGTTTGTCCAGGTTGATGCTTCTTTCCTTTATTCCGATTTGCTTTTGCTTCTTCATTATTCTGATTGTTTCTTAACTTTGCCATCTTTGGGGCATTTTCAGGCTCAAGAGGGCACCCATTACAGGGGGTCAGCTTGCCACTATACACCTTCCTCACTGTAACAGAGACTTTGAAGGGCAACATCATAAGCAAAGAGGGAAGGAACAAGGTGTTTTGGTGGGGAGGGACGAGGATATGAGTAGTTTGGTGGGCAAACAGGAGCAAAGAGAAGGAGAGCTTGCCATCTTTGGGGCATTTTCAGGCTCAAGAGGGCACCCATTACAGGGGGTCAGCTTGCCACTATACACCTTCCTCACTGTAACAGAGACTTTGAAGGGCAACATCATAAGCAAAGAGGGAAGGAACAAGGTGTTTTGGTGGGGAGGGACGAGGATATGAGTAGTTTGGTGGGCAAACAGGAGCAAAGAGAAAGAGAGCCTGGCACTCATGGCACCGGCAGAGGGGCAGGGGCAATGCTTACCTGCCTTTGGGTGGCCAGGGCCGAGGAGTGGGGGGGGAATCACCATCCCATGGCCCCGCAGCGAGCCATGGGGAGCCCTGGAGGAAGGCAGGGCTCAGGCTGATGCAATTTCTCTGCTTCTTTAAAGGCAAAGAAACAGAGAAAAGACGAACCTGATGCTGTGCAGTATTTCTAGTGCTAAGTATCTTCTCTGATGCTTTATGCAGTTTAATTCAGTATCTGTGACTATTTCCCTCTCCCCTGAGGTCTCTCTGGCTGCACGGGTCTCACAGGGGAGAAACAGTCTCAGTTTTCAGGCAACGTTTGCCTTTGGCTTAATTATTCCCAGATAGCCCCACAGAAACCAGGCGGATGAAGACCTACCCTGCTGTAAAGGAAACCTCCCTGCAGGCTGGTCCTTGCTGCCTGCCCCAAGCTTGAGGGAGGCAGCTCCCAGCCGGAAGAACAGGAAAATAAAGTGTCAGCCACACAGTTTGTCACACACTTTTATTCCACTGGGGAGGGCTTTGACACTGTTGGCAATAAAGTCCTTCGTACCCGTGGAAAATACCTGGCTTGATACTGATTGCGTCAGGACTAAACAGCGTAAAAGATAAGCCAGAGGAGATGAATAACTAGTTTCTGTCTAGTCCAGCCCTGCCCCATTTGTTGTCTTTTTGCTCGGTTTCTGTGGTGAGTCGTGGGCAGAGCGGAGGTGAAAACAGGTAGGACGACGCACAAAGAAGGACACAGAGGAAGGGAGAGGGGACGCTGGCGGGGAACCCCATTGCACCAGGGATGCCAGCTGGCCGAGAGCGGTGGTGGCAGACCCAGCCTTTCGTTTTGACCAGGCTGGTGGTTTTGCCTCTTCTCTTTTGACTCAGCAGGCGAAAGTGGGTTTGGAGGAGGTGCGATGGCAGGGCAGCCTGCGCAGGTGCAGGCCACAGGGACCAGGCTCCCCTTCTCACGGGGACGGTTTAACCCATCCCTGACTGCTCCAAGCCCCTCAGCTCCAGTACAGAGGTTTTTATTGCTACCCTATGGCTCAGCTGGGGTCTGTTTGCAATGCAGTCCCAGCTACGAGAGCATTGAGGGAAGGAAGCAGGTTTCCAAGCTGGCACTTGGAGATATAGCTGTGTCGTGCCAGAGGGCAGGGGGTGTGAACCTTGCAACCGAGGGTGGCATGTCAGGCCATGCAGCCCAGCCCCATGGCATTTCCCTTTCGTAGCCCCAAATCACCTAGGCACAAAAATACATGGGATTTACCTGTTTCAGGTTGTGCTTTGAGCCTTTGCTTGCCAGGGCGAGCGTAACTTTGGGCACAGGAGTAATCCCCCTCACTGCATTTCCCTGCCGAGCAAGACTCCCCAGTTAGGGTACTCACATCATGACCTCTGGGTTTTGGCTGAATGGAAGGACTCTCAACTTGTCCTCTGGCTGAAACAGAGCCATAAAGCTCCTGCCAGTGTGCATGGTTTTGGTGTGGAAGATAATGGCAGTATGATTGCAATCTGGATGGATGAAATGTCCCAGAAAGACCCAGGATATTTACAGGATGTCCTGGCCCATTCCTTCCTCAGCCAAAACCCTTAGAGCTAAAAATTAGCTTTCATCCCCAGAGAATTACCAATGGAGCATCACTCACTCAAACCAGCCCAGTGCATTCTCCTCTCTTTGGGAACGGAGGAGAAAACCTCCCCTGACAGGTTCACAGGAGAAGCTGAGGGACACGAGCCCATCCAGGATCTGTGGCAGATTTGGGCAGCTGTCCTGTCAGGGACTATGGCACAGAGCCAGCACCCCAGGAGCACGCTGGGGTCGTGGGTCACCCCAATACTGGCAGGCCCAGATGACAACACGGATGCACAGACATGTGCACACCACCGTTGTGGTGGCTGGCTGACATCCCCTGGGATGTGTGGGAGTGGGGCACACAGGACCCAGCAGCGTCCAGAGTGCTCACAGGCAGCACCGCTGCACCCACTGCATCCAAAGGGTGGGAGCTGGGGTGGGGGGAGATGTGAGGAGAGGCTCTTGACGCAACCTCCTGCCATGGGTTCAGAGCTCCCCCAAAACCACCCTCTACACACTGGACATTGGACT